CCATCCATCCATCCATCCATCCATCCATCCATCCATCCATCCATCCATCCATCCATCCGTTGTTATAAATTGATTTAGACTAATTCCATGAAAGGCATGCAACAGACATTCCTTCAAACACTTGTTCCAGGCTTTTATCCCCTATTTTTCCCCTAAAGAGCACTTTATATCTATTGTTTTCTACATTAAGTCATTGCCCCCCGTCCCACTGTTACCCAAAACAGCTGAAGGGGCTGCAGCTTTTAGTTTTGCATCAGTTTTTTAAAGAAGAAGTCAAGACATTTGTTACATCTGCAAAAGGTCAAACTGAACGTTTTTAAGCTCTTTGGTAGATTCTTGCTGAAAGAACTGAAAATAAATAAATAAATAAATAAATAAATAAATAAATAAATAAATAAATAAATAAATGAAACATGAGTTATATGTTGTCCATTAAGACTTGTCTGCATCCATTAAATTTAGCTCTAAATGTTCAGCTCTGTTGGAAAAGATAAATCAGTGATGTCTGCTCTGTTTGTGCATCAGGAGGGAGATAAATCCCTTTTGATTGACAGCTCTGTCATGTCAGTCCCAGCTCAGGGGGTCCAATGAGGAGTCGGTTGCAGAGTTCCTCCCTGACTCGCAGGTGAGCTAAAGGGTCTCAGTCCGGCAGATTTCTGTCAGTCGGTTCCAGAAAACCTCTCTTCTCCAGCTTCATTCTGAGATCCAGATGGTTTTCAGGTCGCCGCTCGACTTCCTCTCAGCCTCCCGCCTCCTCCTGCCCCACTTTGTGGATGCCCCCCATCACTTGCCCGGTTCTCTGTCGCCGGAGGACCCTCCCGCCGCGGGCCCTCCCCGGGCTCTCCCGGGACTCTGCTTCTCCGCGGCGCAGATCGCCAGCGTGTGCGAGACTCTGGAGGAGACCGGAGACATCGAGCGGCTGGCCCGCTTCCTCTGGTCGCTCCCGGTGACCGCGGACGGACGCGACTCCATCTCTGAGCACGAGTCCGTGCAGCGGGCTCGCGCCGTCGTGGCCTTCCACGCGGGGAGCTTCCGCGAGCTCTACCGCATCCTGGAGACGCATCGCTTTACGCGCGCCTCTCACGGCAAACTTCAGGCGATGTGGCTCGAGGCGCACTACCGCGAGGCGGAGAAGCTCCGGGGGCGGCCGCTCGGACCCGTGGACAAGTACCGCGTGAGGAAGAAGTTCCCGCTGCCGAGGACCATCTGGGACGGAGAGCAGAAGACGCACTGCTTCAAAGAGCGCACACGGGGGCTGCTGAGAGAGTGGTACCTGCAAGACCCCTACCCCAACCCGGGGAAGAAGCGGGAGCTGGCGCACGCCACCGGACTGACGCCTACTCAAGTTGGGAACTGGTTCAAAAACCGGAGACAGAGAGACCGCGCGGCAGCAGCTAAAAACAGGTGCGCTGATCTGTGGGTTGGAGGAACAGAACTTAAATACTCCAGCATCTACGAATCTTAATGTGAACATAAAATTATTGCAACTTTATTATAAGTTCAAACAAGGTGTATTGAATTGGTATTTCTTCCTTTTTGCCATTGAACAAAACACCAAAGACGGGGAAACGTTGCGCGTAAAAGAGCAATCCGTGCGTAAAAGCGCACGGTTTTAAAAGTTGTCTATATTTCCTTTCCGATAGTACTGTGGTCATTGTTTAATTCCACGATATACTCACAATACGTGTCCCCTATTTGTAGGTTGCAGCACCACCGGGTGTGTCCAGAGAGAGCTCGCGCACTCAGCGGAGGAGACTGCAGCCCTGATGGCAGCGCAGAGCGCGCGGATGGAGAAACTTTCCTCTCAGTGACTGACAGTGACTCTGACCTGGACGTTTGAAATGATTGGTGGATTAAATGGMCCTATTGATGCCTGTGGGGATCCAGACTGGATAGAAGATTGAGAAGAATATATTTTTGAAGATGATCTGTGCTACAAATTAAGACTTTAACATGACTGATCCTGAATTCCAGCCTAATTGTTTAATAGCGGATGTTACACGAATGTTTCATCGTTTTCCCCCTTTTTTTATGGGAGGGTCCTACATGATACCCTTTTTGTCTTTGTTGTTGGTTTTCTATTTGGTCTCAGATGAAAATCATGGATTTTTGTTACTTTGTTATGTTTTATAATCACACCAAATCAAACATCCATCCGTGTTGGACTTGACCCTCACAGTGCAGGACCTTTACAAACTGAAACCAGTGAGCAAATCACTCATATTTTCTCAGATCACTTGTCATTTTATAAATTATAGCTCCTGTAGAAGCCCTTGGATGTATAATATATAATTTGGACAGTATAACCAAATCCTACCTCCTTGTTTGTTTTATATTCCTTTTACCTAAAGCTGACAGTGCAGTTTGTGTCTGTGTTCAATTTTATGCTGACGTGTTTTTCATTTTCTATAAATAAAGTTATTTAATTAAAACAGTTTATATGAACAATTTGTAGGACTTTTTGTTTTCTAATTCTACCGTATTTGAATTCATGGAGGCCAGTTTGATTGACAGCAGTCAGTAAACATTAACGTACTGAGGTAAGATGCAACTTTGTTGCAAAACGCCCACTTTTCTGCCTGTAATCTTCTTGTTTAGTAAATATATAATACAAGAAGATATTAAGTGATGCCCATGTTTAACCCATAAAGCTTAAACTAAAATATTCTCCTTCTGAGTATTTAAGAAACATCTGTTTATTGCACAAACAACCTAAACATGGTTTTCAACTTTTCAGGTGTTCCAAAGTTATCCTTAACCAAAAACTCACAAGTTGTGYTAATATTAAATGTGCTTTATTTATATATGCAATAAATATTAAAACAAATATACAATATTCACCAAACTTTAGTTTTTTCCATGCTTCTTTTGACAGTTTCTCTGTCTGATACTGTACATTTTGAAGACAGATTCTGTATTAACTTCCTTTTTTATATTGGCTATTTTTGTGACAAAACGTTCTAGCACATTTATTTTATTGTTTTATTTTTGCAAGCTACCTTTTTCTCTAGCCCTTGTTAAAATGTCAGTAAAGTCAAAATAATAAAATCCCACAACAGCCAATCAAAGTATATTCTAATTTAGATTATAATTCGGAACAATGTAATCAAAACACACAACAGTGACACCCGGTGGTCAGAAAAACAAACGACAGCACTCCCTGCTCTAACAAATGCAATTTTAAAACTAACTTTTAAAGACACACTCTCAGTTTAAGTTTTAAAATGTCTAAATCTAAAATTCTTTAGTTTTATTCAGTTTGTTTTAATAGTTGGTTATTCTCATTGGCTGACAACTTGGTTGTGTTTTCTGTTTTTCTCAGTAAACAAGCATTATCATAAAACAAAACAGGAGGTTTAGAAAAGAAGTCGTTTCTGCGAAAGCGTTTGCGAATGATTCTGTCGGRTTTCCGAGCAGCACTTGAACACAACATTGAGTGACGTCACATCTTGGTGGCGTCATCCTGCCGGCAGTACGTCCATCAAACCAGCAGATGGCGCAGCTGGCCAGGAAAAATGACTAAACGTTACACTTACTCCTCATTTTTGGACCATGTCGACAAAATACTCTCAAAATTGCAGACTTTTAAAATAAATAAATAAATGTAGGATAAACGTTTACAACAGCTTGAGGGTAACACGGCAGCAGCATGTAAAGGAGCATCATGCAAGTAGACTTTAAAGCAACACATGATGTCGTTGAGAAAACATCAGGAAATGTGCTAACATTTCAGCAATCTGTGCAAAAATCACATTCAATTACTGCAGCATCGAACAGACCTGTCACGTRGAAAATATTTCCTCAATCACATGAATTAAAAATAAAATAAGGCAAAGGAGCAGAACTTCTACATAAACTGTCATACTTTTTTTTATAAACACGGTAAAATACGAGCTTACGGAACAAAGGGACATAATAAAAGTGACATTTCTGGTAGATTTCTCAAGTAAAGAGCAGAGCTTAAAAGTAATCGAACTATTTCAKAATAATGTTCCTCAGTGAAAATTTGTGAACATTTTCGTTTCGTTTGGTAACTTTGTCGTCTTCTCCGGGGCGAAGCTTGTTTGACGAGGACTGCGGCAAAACAGAAAACGGCTCTGTGATCGGTTGAATCTAATTTTTTTAAATAAAAAATATTTTTGTAAACCATGGACCCCACTAAAGAGAGGCGAGGGACCGTCYGGCCTTTTATCCGTGCACAGCAAACCCTGCYTCTCTGATGTTATKSGGGTGCATTCGTGCTTCAGACATGGACAGCCTGTGACCACGCATATAAAACCCGACTGATTGATTGACTCTGTTGGTTGTCTGGAAATGGCACGCGCGCACACACACTCAGACACACACGCCTGCGGGTGAATTCCGTTCACTCTAATGACACACACACACACACATACACACACAACTGAGACACAGCATAGACCCGCACACAATCCGGCAGCGCGTGTGACGCGTTTTGCGCATTTCCTGCAGCTCGCGCTCACTGACGGATTGGGAGCGCGAGGGGACGGGAAGCGAGGGGCGCGCGCAAGGACCGAAAGGAGAAAAAAAAAATAAAAGAGGAGCGGAGGGAGCTCTGTGATGTGTTCGCTGTGCTCGTGAGCCAGAAAAAGACTATAGACAGGATTTTATTTCTCTCTCTCTTTTTTGCTTTGCTTTTCCGGGAGTACAGAATCACGAGGTCGAAGCGAGGAGAGAGAGATTACCACCGGAGAGGGAGCGAGCGAGCGAACCGAGACCGGGCTGGAAGCGGAGCACCAATCCCGGATGGCTAGGCGCGGCTGCTCGGGCTTTCTCCCACCCTGACCCGGCGGAGACACACAAGCTCCGGGGACTTAACGTGAGCCCGTCCCTCCGCCCATTTCCGTGAAAAACTATCGCTAATGTTGGGGATTTTTATTTTTATTTTTTATTTTTTTTGGACAGGACCGACCGTAAACAAACCGCTCCTCGGGCTGGGAGTCATCACGCAGCCCCAGAAGAAGGGTGTGAGTCTGCGTTTTTAGCTGCGTCTTTCAGCCTGTTGGAGGTCCACTAGCGGCACTGTTAGCACCCCAGTGTGTGTGTGTGTGTGTGTGTGTGTGTGTGT